GTGTGTTAGACCTGGGCAAATACAGGAATCATCCAAGGGGGATTATACACAAAGGAATATAGAGGGGTGAATGAACTTCCCGGTCTCCTCATTGGTCACTTTCAGCTCCAGCTTCACCTCAGGCAGTTTCACACACAACCACCGTCATCTACAACAGTGGTACTCAGCCTTTGGATCACGACCCCCTTCACAGTGCCCATTTCTACAAATTTACAGATTAATTCTGGTTGTGGGTCGCGCAACTTTTAAAAAATTGTATAAAAAAGGGGTGGGGGGTGGGTCACGTCACTGAAAAGGTTGATCTACAGCAGCCAAACCTACAGAAATAATAACAACCTAACAACCGCACCAACGTCAATGAACGAATGACCAATTTTTTTTTCTCCGTTTCCGGAAGTCTCGGTGAACACATCAACAAAACACCATCTCATCCCAGTTACCGGAAGAGCAGAAATATCTCTTTGTACATGTGTCATTTCTAAAAAGCTGTATTACTGAACCCGTCATGGCGGCAGTGTGTACACAGAGACTCAAAGAAACGCAGCGGAGAAAAGGTTTCAGTCAAAGAAACGTGGTCTCCATGAGAGTAGCATCGCCGCGAGATAAATCACCGCTAACAATTTCCCCACCGTTTATTTTGGCCCGCCTCCTGAACCCGGTGGGATTTTAGAATTTCCACAGACATTACATAATCAGGACAAAAAAAATCCCCCATGTGGAACTTTTTCGATGAACATTATTTGTTAACACGCAATAGTTGGGTGTTGTGGCGGCGTAAATAAAAGTGGATGAAACAGTCCCTTTTTGTAGCGGTTTGGGGGTGGGGTAGTGCGAGCTGCATGACCTTACAAACCACCCCTCCCCCCTCCAAAAAAAAAACAAACAACAAACAAAACCAAACAAAACATGGCCCACTTTTAACAATGTTTACATTTTAAATAATCTATTTTTAGTATTAATTTTGAAAGGACACATTCTTCATATACACTCACTGTAGAGTCAAGATAAAATATTTTTTTTAAAAAAACATCGTTAGTAATAAAATAATAAAATTAAAAATAATAATAAAAGGTTAAAAATATGGTAAATAATAACAATAATTTGTATTATTATAATAATGCATCGTATTCACCCAAAGATAAGATTTTGCATTGATGTTTCTTTGGTCTGGTACGTCAGCAATAATGAAATGGGGAACATTTTTTACGGGAAAGAAAAATATTGGAGATGGCAACATCAAAGCTGCGTGTCTGAGATACCAGCAAAGCTGAGAGATGATTGACCCACTTCTATGTCATTATGCAGTGGACGGCCCAACTGAGAGATGACTGACCCAATTCCATGTCATATTCAGTGGACGGCCCAACTGGGAGATGACTGACCCAATTCTGTCATATTAAGTGGACGGTCCAACTGTCATCCAAATGACACATTCTTCGATAGTCTTCGAAAAGCCTTGGGCTAATACACATTTGAATTATCAGGTAGGTGGCTTAAATTGGGGCCATACTGACTTCAGACAGGGGGATTTAAATGACAAAGAGACCTTCACCCAAACCAAATTATACGGGCCTACTTTTTAAGGGAACGCAAAAAAAGAAAAGAAAAAAAAAAGCCACCACAAAAAGCCACCACAAAAAGCCACCACAAAAAGCCACCACAAAAAGCCACCACAAAAAGCCACCACCATATTTCTCCCCCCCCTCCCCCCAGTCATTTTCTCCCAATGCGCATACACACGTTACATAAGATTAGTTATGACGTCAGACGAGTATTCAGCTTAGATACTAATCCGACTCCAACAAATCCAGAATTTGAGATCCGTGACGTTTTTTTGTTTTTTTTAACGCATCCGACTCCAGCAGAGAATTCCGACAATGACTTCAGGAATCCGCGACTCCGCCGATCCACGATTTCTTAGTTATGTTGGGTTTTGTATGAATCCTTTTGAATGAGGGGTTTTCCCTTAAACCCCCTTTCGCCCCGGTTGTATAGAAGCTGTTTGAATGCGAGTTATTATACTGTAAGTTAAACATCCTGACCAGGGGGGACCTATATATACGGCACTATCAGACCTGGTCTGAGGGTACTTGGGGTGTCAGTGACTGGCTATACATCTGACTAGTGAACGTGTGTTGTCGACCAAGGTGAGTTTACGCGGTGTAAAACTGTTCTGGTGGTTAACTATGAATTTAACGGTGTGCTTCAATAAATATAAATTGTCTCGGATTAGTTGCAAATGTTTTTTTTTAGATATTGTATTTACATGAGCCTGTAATCCATTATTTTATGTTAATTTTTTATTTAAGAATACTAAGTTAAAAACCAAATGACTTAATTCTTAACACTGCAGTGTAAACCATTAACATCAAATCCAACACTCTTCCCATCACAGTGTAAACAATTAATATCAAATATTATGCTCTTCATAACCTACAGAGACAACCCACTAAGAACAAAAGAAAGGAAAGACTAACATAAATTTAACTTGTTTTCTTCGAAGTATAAAAATATTTTTCAATTTGTGTTATGTAAATAAATGTCTGAATTTTATTGATTGAAAAAATCTGAACTCAACTCCATTGTGAAATTGACATTTTTGTCTCTGACGCGGCTGTGAGTTCAACTACGTTATAATAAACCTAGATTCTTGGTAGATTTATACTTTCAAGTACAAATAATAAACATAGACTCTTGTTAGATTTATACTTTCAAGTACTTATAATAAACCCAGATTCTTGCTACATTTATACTTCAAAGTACATAAAATAAACCTAGATTTATACTTTCAAGTACATATAATAAACCTAGATTTATACTTTTAAGTACATATAATAAACCTAGATTTATACTTTCAAGTACATATAATAAACCTAGATTTATACTTTCAAGTACAAATAATAAACATAGAATCTTGTTAGATTTATACTTTCAAGTACTTATAATAAACCCAGATTCTTGCTACATTTATACTTCAAAGTACATATAATAAACCTAGATTTATACTTTCAAGTACATATAATAAACCTACATTTATAGATTTATACTTTCAAGTACATATAATAAACCTAGATTTATACTTTCAAGTACATCTAATAAACCTAGATTTATACTTTCAAGTACATATAATAAACCCAGATTCTTGCTAGATTTATACTTTCAAGTACATATAATAAACCCATATTCTTGCTAGATTTATACTTTCAAGTACATATAATAAACCCAGATTCTTGCTAGATTTATACTTTCAAGTACATATAATAAACCTATATCCTCTAACAAATATTCAACATTATATTAAACCATTCTCAGCTGGCAACTCGTTTGAATTGGCTTGTTTGCATATCAATATCTCCTCTGGCTTGATGCAAATATTTGTTGAATCCGTCAACTCTTCCAGAAAGGCGTTACCATAAAGTTTCTGGAGACACTGCCTTCTAGTTGCATGCATAACATTCTAATATTAGCTGGAGACACTGCCTTCTAGTTGCATGCATAACATTCTAATATTAGCTGGAGACACTGCCTTCTAGTTGCATGCATAACATTCTAATATTAGCAACGAATCATATTTTTCAACGTTAATAAGATTTAAAAAAAAAAATTCCTTATCAGAATAATTTTTGCTAATACAACTTGACATAAACCGTATGTGAATGTTTTGTATGTCAGGTTTATCCTCAAATGTTAGACACTTAAACCATTTAAGAAAAAATAAAATAAATTTTAAATTTTTATTACTATAATTATTATTATTATTATTATTATTATTATTATTATTATTATTATTTGGCAATGTAATTTTCTGAGGCTGAGAAATAATCAGTTCTTGGCTAATTTTTGATCTATGCCAATCGGAATCTGGGAAGTTAAAAAAAAACTAAACAAACAAACAAACAAACTAATTGGTTAACAGTTGATGTATTCCCCACTAATTTAAACATTCGAAGTTAACAAAAAACATAAAAAAGCTCCAAAAAAAAAAACCCAACCAAAAAAAAAAAAAAAAAAAAAA